GCCCCTAGTAGCGTCCTTGCTCCTAGTAGCGATGCCAGGAGCCCCTACTTCCTTGCTCCTAGTACCGATGCCGGGAGGCGATGCCAGGAGCCCCTAGTAGCTTCTTGTTCCTAGTACAGCCCCTACAAGCGTCCGTCCTTTCTCCTAGTAGCGAGTAGCTTCTTGTTCCTAGTAGTAAGGCCAGGAGCCCCTAGTAGGGATGCCAGGAGCCCCTACTAGCTTCTTGTTCCTAGTAGTAAGGCCAGGAGCCCCTAGTAGCGTCCTTGCTCCTAGTAGCGATGCCAGGAGCCCCTAGTAGCTTTTTGTTCCTAGTAGATCCTAGTAGTAAGGCCAGGAGCCCCTAGTAGCGTCCTTGCTCCCACTAGCGATGCCAGGAGGCGATGCCAGGAGCCCCTAGTAGCTTCTTGTTACTGGTAATGCCCTTGATATGGTAGCCCGAAAGAATTGACACTCGCCCATCGGCCATCGGCCCAGGCAAAGATTCCGGTGACTTTGGTGCATCCTGGCTTCTTGGTACATCCATCAGTAAGGAACATGGTGCCTCTCAAGTCAGTTGAATCAGCCGGATCGCGCTAAACTGCTGTGGGCAGGAGGATCTTATACAAAAAAGTTATATGAATAAGAAACGGGAGGTGAAAAAGGAAGAGGCTAGTAAGGCCCTTTTACACAGGGTCCTACCTTGCTGTTTCCATTTGCGTGTCCTTTTTTCTACAGTAGTTTTTCCTGAGGTTTCAATCGCACCGAAATGACGTCCAAGTATGCCGAGATCTGGGAAAAAGAGGCGAACATCGGCGTTTATGCTCTTGTGTCATTTTTCAGATGGTAGTCAATAGACTTGCTGGATTCGGTTGTATACTCGGCCTCCAGGGAGCTGTGGATCCATCTGTGGGAGCCAAGCGCGTGCTGCATGAGGTGCCGACAATTTTCATGTGGAATGCTGTGCATCACTGTCCCAAGTGTCCAGCGTTTGGCCATCGATGGCCTCTCTATGTTTATGTTCGATACATTGCCGTACCCTTGAACTCTTTTAGGGACTTGTGTATTTCTGATCGCGAGTTGAGTTGAGCTGATTTTGAGGTATATAGGTCAGATAGGTCCAGGGGTTTGCAGGTCACGTTGGAACTGCCGGCGGCCTTAAAGTACATACGAGTACGAGTACAGTGTATTGTGCTTTTCATGCAGGTGCTCATGCAAATCCAAGGTGTGCAACCACTCTTTCTCTCCTGACGTTCCTACAAAAAGACTAGAATGGTTGCACTTGATTCAATAGACAATTTGAGTAGAAATGGCAGGCGAAGCGCATCAGCATGGAAACCACAGGCAAGTTCTTCAACTCTGAAGATGGGTTTCATCCTCATTGGGATTATTGAGTAGCAATCTCCTTGATCTTTGCTGAATGACACGTGACAACAACACCAGTCGAGTCCTTTGCGAATCTTTGCCAAGTGGGACTCCTCCTTCAAGGATGATCCAGACTGCTGCTACTGTATCATTTCATGTTTTGAAAGTGTTACGCAGTGTAATCCAGAGACTGGAGCAGTCTCTCTTTTCTTCCTTGCGACTCCATTCAATCTCCTTGCGCAGAGCTCCAGTGCTATGTTGATTCAGAGGGTTGTGTTCGGACGTTGCTGTCTCCAGCATGCCGTTGCTATTCCTTCCTATCCTGACAGTTCCCTAAGGTTGGAGATCCCGTGGTAGTGACACAGCCTTGGCACAGAAGCCTTGGCAAAACCTGAGCCACCAGGAGAATGTGACACATGGACCGTTCAAGGCAGCCCAACTCTTGCATAGCATTGCCCTTGGGCCCTGTTTCTGGCCCGATAAGCTGCCAAAGAGTTTGGGGATCATTTTCTGCAAATTTCTCGGCTGTATTCATACTACTGATCATGGTCTCAAAGCAAAGCCCAAGACAAGCTAGAGAAGATCATCCAACTGGTGGACTGACTGTAGTTTGCTCAATCTGGCCCTGACCTAGATTGCTCTGTCAGGAGAGTTGTAAGATCAATTTCTTCGATGCGTGTTGCCCGTGACAGTGGAATTTGCTGCTCTTGGCAGCATCCCGTATCAATCGGGCATGTGCACAAGATGGCACATCGTGTTTGTTTTTTTACAAACAAGCCACAAAGAGCCCTGGAAAAGAGGCTGAAAGACTCTGCGTGCACACGTTTGGGCAGATTAATGATATACCGAACGCATCCGAACGCTGTTTGTACCCCCAACACGTAGTGCATCGAAGCTTCTTGTCTTTCTGTGTGGCAGCATGGTGCATGCTGACTTGTTTTTCTCGTTGGTCTGCAAAACTTTGGGCGCCATTCAGCCATGACAAAGGCCATGGCAAAAGTGCGGCTTCCCAGGCTCCTCCAGGGTCCTTCCCCTTGTGAGACGAGAGTCCAACCGACAAAGGGCACGGCACGTCCCGAGGCTTGCAGTGGCAAGGTCCGAAAGGGACGGACGTGGGTCGCCCCAGAAGGGATGTGTCGTAGACTGCGGTCTCAAGGATGGCCAGACCTTGCTGAGAATGTTTCTGTGACCCAATCACTCCGACAACCGATCCCTTAGTTTGAACAAAACAGCAAGTCAGCAAGTCTTTGAACCTCAAATTCTCGGTCGTCGGGCACCTTAAATTGCATATCTTGCTCCGGTTCCAAGGACATGGGCCCTACTAGCAGTATTGGCTGCACCTGCATTGCTACACCAGGTGCATTGCATCAGCTGAGAACTTTGCTTGCCCAAAAGCTGGTACCCAACGAACCGTACCATACCGTACCAACGAATCCTGGCAATGAGCTCAATGAGCTGTAGGAAGACATACGTAGCTTGAACCATCCTAATGGTGGGGTATAGTTCTAACGCATACGCATCAATTCTAATCTAAGCCAGGAGCTGTGGGGTCCCAGCTGTTTTGCCACAAGGGAGATTAAGAGAGTCAAACGATCAAAGAACTGCTACTGCAAAAGACGCATGATGTGAGGTTTGTTCGTCTTTTCAGTTCCCCATTGGCCGATCTATCCTTTTGTCGGATCACAGTATATTATAAATATATATGTCTATATCATCCCCCTTGGTGACGACTCAGGCGACACGATCGACTGGACCCCAACTCCGGCCCGGCCTTCTTCCCGACCCCACAAAAATAACAGTTTGGAAGCATTCTGAAGTTCTGAAGATGGACTGGATCTGGATCTTTTTGTCTCCCAGAGACCTTCGATGCAGCCACCTGAAGACGGATCGTTTGCAAGAAACCACACTGAGCCAACTAGTTTGGTGAGGCGCTTTCCTTCGTGGCGTCAACGCGTGGGCATCCAAAGGCCACGGAATTTAGCGAGCTGAAATGCTCATTGATGCCAAGCTTGATGAGATCCCAAATGAAACCCAGGCACCGCTGTTTTCTGTTGCTCTTTGTGAATAAAGGCTCTCTTTGCCTAAATGACCGGAAATGACGTTTTCTGCATGGGCGGAAAAGTTGAGCCAATCTTTAGAAGTGTTGAGCACACACATTATATCATTATTATCACTATTGGAACCGTTGCCTGTTTGGCTTGGTAGGACATGGGCATCCATTATAGTTAGCAAGTATGGAATACCAGTACAAGCATTCCTATTGTGGAAGCCATGTCCTCCATATCTCATGAATGTAGGGCACGTTGAACATCCTCAGACTGAGAGGCACGACGGACACTGAGAGGCGCTGCAGAGGCCGTCATCCTTGACTCGCCAAAAGTGCACCTGATGAACTGCAACTGGTAGTGAATGCATGTGAATGCTATGCTGCAAAATTCAGTAGCTACTGGTAGTATTCTAGACTCTCCCCAATGCACGCGAGCTGGAGCTACACGGGCAAAGGAGAGGATCAAGATTTCCCGCAATGAATGCGACCAGGACATCCAAGCTGCGCCGGCCAAGATGACAGACTTGCGAGTCGGTCAGGACTGCAATTATTGCTTTGTCCAAATCCTTTCCCACCCTTTGTGTGGGTAAAGGCGGTAATCAGAGGTCTGTGTCGTGTGTTTGGAACATCATCGAACAGTACCCTAGGTCAAGACAGACCCCCTTCTAGGTTGGAGGCCATCGCTTCTAGGTACCTAGGCTAGGTCATTGATCCCCCTAGGCTAGGTATGAAGAGAACAGAACACATCGACTCGTCGACTCGTCGGCCAGTCCGACTCGTCGACTCGACTCGCGTCGAGGAGCTGATGGGCATCATCACCAGAGTCACGGAGCGGACGACGGCTCAGCGGACGACGGCTCACGGGAAGAACCAAGCGAAAGAGGGTGGACTTTTTGGACGAGCGTATGATATAGATGAGCATGATGAGCATCATAGTAATTATCATGACAAACTTGGGAACGTTTCACTTTCTCCACTGGTCATCAGAGTTTTACCTTTTTGGTTTAGTTTATTTGTATCTGTTCCTCACAGGTGTTGCAGTCTTAATTTGCAATGTTTTGCCCATCTCACACCAAATGTTTCAACGCGCGCTACTTGTACCATTCATCCGTAAATGCAAAGCTGTACAAGTCTTACTGTATGTTCCTCTCACCTGTATGTTCAAAAACTGCTTGAAGCTGTCATGAGCTGTCAATAAAGGCATCAAGACTTTTGTCCGCCTTCACTTGGTAAAGCTTTGCGAAGACACCAAGTTCCGCCGGCATGGGTTGTAGGCAGCGACAGTAGGCAGTAGGAATCTTCAGTTCCTTGGCCCAGTCGTTCAAGTTGGGTGACCCCTGTTGATGCGACTCACAATGGGGCGACCCATCACAATATGTTGAACTCTTCTTGAAGGGTACAGCAAAAGGACAACATATATACGCTTGGATTCACGAGTTAATGAATGACAATGATGTCGTGGACGATGCACACCTGTTGGGTCCAGTGGTACTGTAATGCTTATTTCAGTGACTCGTTGCCTGGTCAGAGGCCCAAGTCTCGTGGATGACTTGAGTTGATTTGACTCATCAACTTCCAGCTGAAGGTTGCGATTCCAAGCAGTTAGCTGCCTCCATTGCTGAGGATTGCCCTCGTTGATATTGGTGTCGAGAAGGCGTATTCCATGAAGTAGCTCGAATTGCTCACGGTGGTGCAAGCATGTGGTCAATTTGATCAGATCAGACACATACAGCAATTTTGAAGCAATGCGACCATCAATGATCAAGAGTAATTTTGCAATTTGTACTCTTCAGAACTGGCTCAGCATGGGTCAGCTCAGAAGGTGAATATCAGATAAGACAGCTGCAAAATCGATAGCTGTTGAGAGCGCATGAACAAAAAAGGTGGCTGAACTGGAACCAACGTGAAACATCATGAACCAACAACCCTTGGCAAGGAAGGCAAGCAACTTGAAACAACATCAAACAACCCGCAAAGCAAGGCAAACAACAAACAGCACGTCACGTCTTTTTTTCTTTTTCCCTCGACTCCAGGTTGGCCTGCTGCCTGGGTCCAAGATCTGGGACGGCCCGATGCCTAAGGACGTCTCCGTGCAGGACCGCACCCAGAGTCACGACCTGACGTCAATTAGAAACAATAAGCTACTAGGAACAAGTGCATCGCTACTAGTAACAAGTGCCTTACTAGTAGTAACAAGAAACTACTAGGAACAAGTGCATCGCTACTAAGAAAAAAAACAGTACATTGCAATTATAGTCCCACCTGGGGGTGGGTAGGCCGGTAGAAGAGGGACGTAGTAGCTAGAGGTAGCTAGTAGAAGCAAACAGCAGAAGCACTGGCACTAATGATTTAGTTCCCACGTAGCTTAGCAGACTTGGCAATTGGCAATTGTTTCATTTTTGATGTTTTTCCGTCATACTAGGTTGATCCTTGTATGTTCTGGTTGCGGCAGAAACCCGTCCTCATCACACACGTGTGCGGGCGGCTTGAGCGTCCGAAAGCCTCAGGACAAGTTGCAAGAAGGCCACCCAATCAAAGTCTATGTCGCAGAGGTACGCGACCTCCATCGATGTGGGTCGTTTACACGATTGCTTACTCGATTGCTTTTGTAGGCCTTTTTCGCTTTTATCCCGCTCGCTCTCCCCCTCACCTCCCTACTGAATTAAGTAGCCGCCTACTTAATTAAGGAAGTAAACTCCTAGCTATTGGACGTAGGATTGCTCACGCTTCTTCAAGGATTTTTGTCTTTTGGTTGGTATTCAGCCTTGATATAGCTACGCAATCAGAAGCTTCTATTCTATTGGCTATTGGCATGCAAGGGCCATGAAATAATTCGTTCGCCCCGCAGGTCGAAAACCCTGAAGATCCTAGAAATGGTGCAGCCTCCCAGGGGCAACGGTTAATGCTGAGCATTGTCAAGATGGATGCTGGGATGATGAACCAAAGAAACTGGATGCCATGCTAAGGCAAGATCGTGCTGGCAGGGCATCCGAACAAGGCATGGCAGCGATTCCTGCATCCAGATAGTTGGGTCAGGGAACAAGACAGATTTGCTTCATGCCGCTTTATCCTCAATCCCATTCTTGGGATATCTTGGGATTGGGAGCTCTCGTTTGAGGAAACCCTAAGGTCAGTTTTCCGCAAAAGTGGAGGATCTCCAAAAAGACTCAGCAGGAGAGAAGCTGCCTTGAAGAACCGCTCTATTGCATTCTTGCTTCCTGTCACTACTAAGCCAGCCACTTCGACTACCATACCTGCCGTAATTACTTACACCTCCCCATCTTTGTTGTGCGACAAGAGAATCCCGAGTAGCGTCCTTGCTCCTATATAGTAGCGATGCCAGGAGCCCCTACTAGCTTCTTGTTCCTAGTAGTAAGGCCAGGAGCCCCTCGTAGCGTCCGATCGCTCCTCGTTGTGCGACACTGAGATTGTGAATCCTTACCAGTTCGGCGAAGCAGCAGACCTGAAGGATGTTAAGGCGCCTGGGGATGGACACGTGGGAATGTCGGGATGGACACCTACCCTGGCCGTGACAGTTTTGGCCTTTGGGCGGGCACTTATCGCCGTAGGCTGGTGGATCAAGAAGCGGTTTGGATGTCGGTGGTGAATGTGCCAAAGTTGTGCCTTCCCTACTGCAACCGACTATGATTCCGCGAAAAGGGTACATTCTCCCATTGCCCTGTTGGGAGCTGGTAGAAGATCAAGTTTCATCGTTTGTTGTTCATTCAATTGGCATGAATGTACAAGGAGAGACCCAGAGGTTGAGGGTCCTGATTTAGTTTGATTCACAGATTAGAAGTATGATATGTAACTTATGCAACAATCACTGTGCACTTATACTGATACTTCAATTGCTTGCAGCTCATTCTGTGCTTAGTTGGCATGGCCTTGCCATTTGTATGGCACATTGATATGTCTGGTAAGCTGCAAAGAAAATGCTCATTGACATCGCTGGGGTCTATTTTGTGCATTCTCAGGGATCCGAGTGTCATGACCCGGTTCGCCCTTTTCTCCACACTTCGCTGGCGAAGCGGCGCAGGCAGAACTGGATAGGCAACAGGAGGCTCAGGAGCTGCCACTGGAACTGGTTAAAGCTGGAACAGCATGGAACAGCCAACGTGTTGAACGAGAACCAGACGAGCTCGTGTAGGGTGTCCGCAACCAAGAATGGTACGTTCTTCCCACAAAAGATGTGCACAGTGTCGTAGTGGTGTCTTTTGAAACAGACTGGAACTGCAAGGAGAAGGTCTTCTGCACTGGCATGGTGACCGCTAAGAAGGACTCAATGATTGTTTGCGAAAACATTGGAAGGCCTTAGTGCCCTTGGGTCTTCTGGCGCGGCTAAGATCAAAGCCTATCAAAGCCTCAGTTCCTCAATCAATACTAACGGCGTCATTTTGAGAAAAGGGAACATTAGGTTGGAAGCCATCGCTACTAGGTTGGAGGCCATCGCTAGTAGGTTGGAGGCATTTGGAGGCCATCGCTACTAGGTTGGGCCCTTACGTGTCTATTTTAGGTCTGTCGTCTGAGCCGAATGTCAGTGGCATGCGTCTGTCGTTTGAGGACTTCGGTGTGATTGTAGCCTTCCGCTCTCCAAATGTGACGGGCATCATCCAGGGCCTTGTCTACAAGACTGAGATGAAGGTGGGGAAGGGACACAGAGATATTCTTGGTCCAAGGCAAATTAGACATGTTCCAGATGGTTTCGGAAAGGTGCGTTTGTCACCCAGGCACACACGGGTCATGAGGTTGTGGGTCATGGCACCAGACCGACCGGTTGACCTACCGGTACTTGCGGTCTTCGACTCGCTTCCCGCGGCTCTTCGACTCAGTCGGGTACCAGGGGGTAGTGGTATGTCACCAAACACAAATCTACGTAAATCTAGCTAGCAATCACCGAATTTCCGCGCTGCTCGCAAGGGCAATAATGGAACATACAAGAACAAGCAACTGGACAAAACTGGCATGTAAATTCAATGAATTCACAGGATCCGGAACCAAACCTAATGGTGTTTTGGCATTTCTGGCCAACCTGAGTTTCTTGAAAAACTGCTCGCACTTTTCATAAAACCAGGCTTGTTTGTGAACCGGATGGAGGTTTACATCCAAGTTGAGAGGTGTACGCCAGTAAGGTCTTGTTGACCGCATCATAATTTGGAATCTCTGGAGGAAATTGGACCCCCCCGTTGTCGTATACGTACGACCCCACCCAATTTCCACGAGACTTCTTGCGGTGGTTTTATGATGGAACTTTGGGAATAGAACAATGATACGCAATGATACGCTCATCAACAAAACCCTGGAGATATTGAACAATGAGATGCAATGCGTCGGACTGCTCTCGTAGAGAATGCTATGGCTGGAAGTGCCAAACACTGTGCCACTCGAGGGTCTTGGTCGTGAAATGGGCTGGCTCGGTTCTGATTCTCTGGCTTCTTTCATCCACACCGGGAATCTCCGGAAATTGAACTCGTGCCATGTGATGCCTGACTGGGCAGTTGATCCCTGTGAAACCTGTGAAACCGGATCTGGCATAGGCGTAGGGCCTAGGGGGTGACAAAATTCAACACAAAATCGGCATAATGTCACGCAGGATTCTCAACGGCCCTTCAAGGTCAACAAGGTCTGAGATTGGAGGTATTGGAGGACCACATCCCCTTAACAAAGGTGATGACCTGATGATGAGATGGGAAAAGGGTGGATCAGAATGCCATCTCTCAAAGAGATGGCAGGATCAGAAGATCAGTTTCACCATGGACCAGAAGATATTGGATAATTACTAGCCCAAAAGAAAGTATTTAAAGAGTTATACATATAATGATAGTAAACTATGTTTTTTCTGGGGCAGCTGGGATTGATTAATAGGGGGAGGTTTCTGCCCAGGAAACAAATTTATTAGGGGGATGTCAAGGTGGAAATCTAGGTTTTAAATTAGTTTAGTATTGGGGGGGGTCGAGCTGGGATTGATTTAAAACTGGGGTGGTTACTTGATCCTATGTTGACATTACTTGGAACCCCACAAACAAGCACGAAGGACTTTCGGGTGGACCGCTGATTGGAATTGTACAAATGGCTCTTGGACTCTGGAGTCTCTGCTGGAGAAGGGTGCCCCAGTGCTGGCTGTCATCGGCATGAGCATCGCTTGAGGACTGACTCGCCTGGGGATTATGATATGCATTATTATGATGAACCATATTGGCCAAATTAAGGTCAACAAGGTCATGCAAAACCCATGTAGCTTGTTGCAAACCATTTGATAGCTTCATGATCTGTCTTGCGGGCACGGACTGCTGCTGTATCAGCACAGGTATTACCAAGTATATCGGTGAAGGGCAAGCAACATGGAAGGTGAACCTAGCTGGAAGGTCAAGCTACAAGGGCTCCAGGTTTGTGGGACACCCCGTGGAGCAAAATGGGTTTGGTCTATTTTTCATCTTCCAGAGGGTCGAACTGGGAGGTATCCTATTTTTGTGCACACCCATATTATATAATCCCATATTAATATAATAGTTAATCATAGCCTCTTCCTGCCAGGGTCAGCCGGACGTGATGGACAAAGTGGAGGTGGTCCCGTTCGGATTGGCCCGACGTTGAAGGACCTCGGCCAAGGACTCGAAGTCACAAGATGTAACAAATATATCCTCAACGGATTGTTGAACTCAATCAGAATTGACCACTGCAAAGTAAACGGATTCGCACACATTTGCACCACTTTTTAGTTCTCACAGTCGAGACGATCGTTACGCAGTTGTTTGTGTGAAAGTCCGGATTTGACCCCCATTCCCGGCTTGTCTCCCAAGCATTTCAAGAGGAATCTTGCCAGGTCCGACTTGCAGGCGTCGAAAACAGAAGGCAAGGACAACGGGGCGATTGGTAGGACGAGAACAACTATTGTAGCACCAGCATGACAGCTTTGGAGAAAAGGTTAGCTAAGTCAGTTGCACACGCAGAGGTGGTTTTTTGAGCAGCCCTGAGTGTTAAGATCTCCATAGACTAGTTTGCTTGTTGTGAAGAGCACAAGAGGCCGAAACATGTCTTTGTACCAGTTCAAGGGCAATCCATATGCGGCTAGTGTTAGACTGTTAGGCTTTCAGAAAAGGGATAACTTGGAGAAAACACAGACTGTTAGACTGTTAGACTGCTAATGTATTTCTTATTGACAAAACACTGCTAAAGACCGGTCTCGCAGCCAGGATCAAGTTGTCCATGATCGAAGACGACCCGCTGACAGGTCGGCTGTCCGGGAGGGTGGTGACCCAGTCCTTAGGTTTTACCTTTCTATTGCCATCCTTGCAGACACATCTAGAATCTGGGGGTAGATGGGGCCACGCAGGATTCTGGAAGTGGTCTTTCAAGCACTTGATACCATTTGCATCCATTTTGGACTAGTACATTTGGCTTCAAGTGATATGAACTAGCCATAACTTCGTTAATGAGCTCCACCGTGGTGGCTCCTGTCCTGTCCAACATGTGCTGTGCAAATCCTTTATTGCTAGCAGCTTGCATAACATACTGTAGAGTGTTGGTTTGAGGATGTTTGATGTTTGTGCACTACGGATTCCACATATATATATATATTAACTATGTGCAGTGTGCATCATATTTACTGTATTTGTGTACATATATACATGTATGCCTGTAGATGTATGTATGAATATACATATATATATATATATGTATGGCACCCCATCCAAAAAAATAACCTACCTTTCAGACAAGTTCATGTTTGGAGATGATAGTCTATCAGTCAATTACAAGGGGAATATATATATATATATTTCAGAAAAGGACTTTATGCGGGTGTGTGTTTTCCAGTGTTCTCGAAAATGCTTGTTTTAGGACTTTGCATGTTGAATATGTTCAGACATTGAGGACGTACTACCTGTGGGTCATCAAGCTCCCACAGGTCACAGGGTGAATGGCATGAAGCTCCCACAGCTCACCCGCACAGGTCAAAGGGTGAGTTGTATTTGCATCACAAGTGTCATCAGCATTGCCATTGCCATTAGCATAACCATTGCTACAAGTCACAGAGTGTGTGGCCTCAACCTCCCACAGGTCACACGGTGATTGGCATCAAGGTCCCACAGCTCACCGGGCCATCACCATTTGCACTACCATTGCCGCAAGAATTGGCATTGCCAGTGTGATCCCCATTGCCACAGGTCAAGGGTGAATGACCATTAACAGTACCATTAGCATTGCCATGAGCACTACCATTGCTATTAGCATCAGCATCAAGCTCCCACAGGTCACAGGGAAAATTGCATTGTGGTGACTGGCATCAAGGTCCCACATAGCATTGCCACAGGTCAAGAAGAAATGGCCATTAGCAGTACTAGTTGCATTGCCATGAGCATTTCCATTGCTATGAGCATCGGCATTAGCATTGTCATTGGCATTCCCAGCGTCATAAGCATTAGCGTTAGCATGAAGCTCCCACAGGGGATGGTTACCGTTTCCATTAGCGTGGTGAATGGCATCAAGCTCCCACAGCTCACAGGGTGAATGGCATCCCATCACCATTGCCATTGGCATTTCTATTGCCATCAGCATCACCACATGTCAAGAATAAACAACCATCATTAGCATCCATATAGCAGCACCATTACAATTGGCAATTCCATTACCACAACTTATGGTAAACGGAATCAAGCTGCCGCAGGTCACAATGCACATATAGGTGCAAAGCCCCAGAGGTCAAAGGGTGAATGGCATTCCATAACCATTGTCATGAGCATAACCATTGCCATTAGCATTGCCGTACGTCACAAGGTGAATAGCCATTACCATTACCATTGGCATTGCCACCGCTATTGGCATCCGCATTAGCATTGCCATTAACATTGCCAGTGCCATAATAAGCATCAAAACATATTGGTTGCAATCAGGTTTACATTGCTAGCATTCAGGTTTGGAAGCTTTCTGGAAAAAACTGCTCCGCTACCACATGCAATACTTGCTGGCATGGCAACGATTCAGTCTTTGAGCCAGCGTTTTCATTGTTTGAAAGAACCCACACCGCTTCCAGTGAAGGAGTTGAATCACTTCTTGAGCCACAGACCACAGGGAAAATTGCGTTATGGTGAAAGGCATCAACGTCCCACATACCATTGCCACAGGTCAAGGGTGAATGACAATTACCAGTACCATTCGCATTGCCATGAGCACTACCATTGCTATTAGCATCAACATCAAGCTTCCACAGGTCACAGGGAAAATGGCATTATGGTGAATGGCATCAAGGTCCCACATAGCATTGCCACAGGTCAAGGGTGAATGGCCATTAGCAGTACTATTTGCATTGCCATGAGCATTACCATTGCTACGCTGTTCAATTTGTGTTCTGAAATTTCACCAAATCATTGCAAGTACCAGTGCAATTGTCTAAAAGGTAGGTTTTGGGGGGGGTGTAGCATATATATAGGGAGGGCCATTTAATTTAGATCTACTGTATTTTTTCGGGGCTTCTGGCTTCTGTGGCTTCTGGCTTTTGTGGCTTTTGGCTTTTGTGGCTTCTGTGGCTTTTGGCTTTCGTGGCTTGTGTGGCTTTGTTGGCTTCTGGCTTTCGTGGCTTCTGTGGCTTTTGGCTTTTTGGCCTATCCATCTATCTGTCTATATCTATCTGTTTCTATCTATCTATCTATCTTTCTTTCTTTCTTTCTGGCAGCTGTTCTCCTTTCTCTTTTTGCATTTGCTTTGCCTGTTGTTTGCGTTGCAGAGACGAAACCAAACAAGGAAGCAAGCAAGCAAGCAAGCAAGGAAGGAAGCAAGGAAGCAAGGAAGCAAGGAAGGAAGCAAGCAAGGAAGCAAGCAAGCAAGCAAGCAAGCGCGAGCTGCTGACCTTTGGATCTGGTGTGCTGCTGGGGGGGGCGCTGCGCTCCCCCCCAACCCCACTTCATCCCCGACACCCGCGCCTGTCACGAAATCAATATTTTAAGGTGAACTCGCCGGCGCAAAACCTTCTAACCAAGCAAATATGCATCCTCTATCTATCTATCCATCTATTTTTCTATCTGCCTATCTGCAGTTCATTCAACGCCCACAAAGTACTACACCTGCCACGAAATCTGCACTTCAGGTCCACAAAGTCTTGCGCCTGCCAGGAAATCTGCACTCCAAGGCCCACAAAATCTTGCACCTGCCACCAACTCTGCACTTCCACATCCACAAAGTCCTGCATCTGCCACGAAATCTGCACTTCAAGGTCCACAAAGTCCTGCGGCTGCCACGAAATCTGCACTCCAAGGGCCACAAAGTATTACACTTGCCACGAAATCTGCACTTCAAGGTCCACAAAAAGTCCTGCGCCTGCCACGAAATCTGCGCTCCAAAGCCCTGCACCTGCCACCAACTCTGAGCTTCCACATCCACAAAGTCCTGCGCCTGCCACGAAATCTGCACTTCAAGGTCCACAAAGTCTTGCGCCTGCCACGAAATCTGCACTCCAAGGCCCACAAAATCCTGCACCTGCCACCAACTCTGCACTTCCACATCCACAAAGTCCTGCATCTGCCACGAAATCTGCACTTCAAGGTCCACAAAGTCCTGCGGTTGCCACGAAATCTGCACTCCAAGGCCCACAAAGTCCTGCATCTGCCACGAAATCTGCACTCCTTTGCCCTTCAACATCCGCAAAGTCCTGCACCTGCCACGAAATTTGCATTTCAACATCGACAAAGTCCTGCACCCGCCACGAAATGTGCATTGCAAGGTCCACAAAGTACTGCACCTGCCACGAAACACGAAAAACAAAAAATCAATTAAAACATGTTAAATTAAATCTGAGCCGAGCCCTATATATAGGCACACACACATAATAGCATATTAATGCAGTTCTTTGCATGTATACAGAAACTAAATATGTATTTATACCCTCAGTTTGCGAGTGAGTATATGGTTGTTTGAACCAAAAGGACCTCCATGTTTTTTGCTTGCTTTACGACCAGCGGCCTGCACTTGGAAAAGGGTCTCTTAGGTCTTGCGGTTTGGGGTTTGTGGCTCCCAGGTGCTGCAGCGCGGTTCATCAACTTCCGAGGTCTTGAGAAAAAAACGACTCTTGGCCAAATGATCAGTGGATTTGTTGCTTCTTGGAGTCCTGGAGTCTTAGAGTGTCTTCTTGCCTCATTTAGAAAATTTTAGTCCACATTAGCTGGTCTCCTTTGCTTCGCAAAGTATTGTATTTCACATCTGTTTTGTTTTGCACACAAGTGGCGCTTTGTCTACTCGTGGTTCTCCAGACTCCAAAGTCCCAAGATGGTTTTGCCTCTTCGGAATGACGGAATGTTGTTCATGTTTGCACTACCTGTTCAAGCTTGCAAGTTTTGTTGCTTTGTTTCAGGATTCTCAAGGCAAAAGTCCAAGGCACCCAGAACGGTGTGAAGACGATACACAAAATTTAAGAATATTAGAGAGGAATGGGCAAGCCTGGAGTGGCACACATTTTTGTCACATGTTCGTCTTACATAATCATACTCCTTTTGTTGTTTTGGTGTTCTGGTTTGTTCTGGCATGATATTGACCTCTTGATGATTCACAAATTATGTTAGATCCAACTGGTGACTTCATCTTCGGGGCTTTCACCCGGCAGGTTTCGCGGACTTTGGTGCCTTTGTTGAGGCGGGCGGATGCTGGATGGCATAAAGCAATCCGCTCGGTCTCCGTCTCGGGCCCAGCCCAGTGACCAGGAGCCGAGTGATGGTACCCCGGTACCCTGCATCCCTGGACCCTATCCTGGTCGTGTTGGAGCACTACCCCGGTACCCTGTGCTCCGTTGTGCCAGGTCACTCCCCCCGAGGGAAATCCTGCGACTGCTCTCCTTCCCACTCGCGAGATCAAGGCCGGACGGACGCAGTCGGCAGTCGTTGTTTGACCATGTTTGAGAAAAAAAATGCGGGGACCTCATTGGACCCCTTTTGTTTGTTTCCTTTTAGTCTTCAGTTGTGGGTCTCCCAAGCGAGTTTTCGCAAATCCTTTGTGTGTGAGTGTTCTTTAGACCTGGAGGATGGATACGTCGAAGATCCTGCAGAAGAGCTCGAGGTACATCCATTGTTTGCTTTTAGCGGTTTGAAGTGCATGTTCTTCAACTGTTCTTCTGTGTGTCTTCGTGAAGGGCTGGAATTATTCTTGAATTCTTTGAGATATAGCGATGACTCAGCTTGTGAGGTAGACATCGAAATTCGGCGGTCGATGACTCCGCTTGCCTCGCTATTCTTCAAGCGACCTCAAGCCCTGCTTCCCTCACCTGAATGTTCCTGATGTGCAAAGAAACAAGGAATGTTCCAGATCTTGTGGGTCAAGGTTCGTTGCTGGAATTGACAAAGTTGCTGAAGAACCGTCTCTGCACCGAATTGCTTTACGTCGTACTTTAGAGGGTTGTTCACGCACAGCTACAGGACAAACTGCATTGACCGACTCCGTTGTTGGCAAGGTTCATTGGCCACAGACTGTATACACTTTGGAGAATTATGAGCCACACTGCAATGCGGTACGAGGTGGGTGCTGTTGCGCACCTCTCGTACCGCACATTCCAATGCCAGAAACAAGACTAGATTTGGCTGGCCAAGACTTGTAGAGCCTTAGTCATAGCTGGGCCCTCAGCCTAAGCAGTTGGAAGCATCTCCGTTTGCTTTGTAACGTAACTGCAGTGGCGATGCAATGACTCCCATGGACCTGCCGACGGCGGCGAAGTTGACAGGTGTGGGATCCACATTGCTTTTGAGCTCCAGTTTGTCACTCAAAGCATGTCCTGTACTAGCCTACAAGGGCCAGTGTTCTCTAAAAGAGGATGGTTTACTGTGCAATGTGGTTATGGTGGGCATGTCACATGATTATGGTGCTTTCTGCTCTTGGGAGTTCGTAGCAAGCGAAGAAGACTGATCCAGAGCTGCAGAAGAAGTACATCATTAGGAAGAATCCAAACAACATCAGTCACTGCCTCACCAGTTCCATTCTACAAAAGAAAGAATCTCATCAGAGGTTAGAGAGGTTCTGTCATAGGCAGTCCAACAACCATGCTTTCGTGGCTTCACCAGACAGGACCGCCGTGCAGGCCAGTCAGAGCCGAATGGATCAGATCATCACACATGAACCAAAAGCTATCGGTGGGATGGGCCTGAGTAATGTCATCGTTCTCCAAGGCTACATCATGCTTCATATGTATAATGTATAATGTATATATATATATATACACATGTATATACACACTCCTGCAAAGTCGACAAGTTGATGGACAGAAGAGGGGCGGTTATATAAATTCTTAGAATACATTGTATTTTTGTCTGGCAGAGACCACAGATCAAAGCTTGTGCTTGTAGATCTACAAATCCCAAGCAAGATGTGTTGATCTGGTACTCTTGGTGTTCCCTTGCAGCACCGCAGCACCCAGCTTGGCAACAGGCTGACCATCTCTGGGAATCCAATGATGATGTGAGCTGCTCAGGGGTGGTGTGAGCTTGGAAGGAAGCATCGCTAGTGGAGTCATGTGAAGCTTTGTGGGAAAAACTGAACCCCATTTACTGTATATAAATGTATGAGCGCCGCAAACTATGACTCATATGACCATGGCTACAGCCTCTGGTAGGCATGATTTGTAGACGAGGTACCGCCCCCACTGCATGCATCAGTCGCTTGACCGTTGCAATCGCACACCGCTGCATTCCAGCTTGAACTTAATTACATTGGGAGGCAACATGCATGGCCGTGTGCCCACATGGCTGCACGTCTTTCTTGTCCTTGCAGATATTTTTACAGCGGCTAAGCCCCTGTGCAGAGAAGCTAGGAATTGCTTATAGTTCGCCTTTGCCCCGCTGACTCCATTGTCCAATAATAGTAAAATAGTGCCGGACTGAAAGATAGAATGCCTGCAAGTACCCTGCTCTTTGGCTTAGAATGCCGACGCGGTTTTAACACTTAGAATGGAAGCGGAGTGGGTTTCAATTTCCTGGTTTGAGCTCAGGTGATGCCGGAAGGTTTCTTGTGAGTCACTTGATCCCTTTCAGTGTTTGCCTTCCCAATAGTAGCACTCCAGTACAATGTCAAGGCCTGGGGCGTTGCTGGAGCATGCAAACAATGTTTGCCATTGCTCGATGCTTAAGGACAGTGGCCAGAGCGGCCAGTGGCAAGATTGTCGAATTCAGATTGGCGGCCTAGCAATTCAGGGAGCAGAGGCTTTTCACCGATCCCTTGGGCCTACATTTCAGGATTATTTGACGCAAGTCTACAATGGTTCGAATGGCAGCTTGGCATTTGGCTGGGTAATCACAAGGAAGTTTGGTAATTAAGGGATGTGACAAGGTACTGCAAGCAGGCAGATAGAATGTTCAAACACCGCACCTTGTGGTTGGAGATAGAATATGTTTTGATATATGTTGATGGCTTCCAGACCAAATTCTTGTTGCGAATTCGGTTCATATTCGTTTCGTGCTCGCAGTCAACTAGCCTGACCGTCTATCCTATTGATTTCTGTCGCTGCGAAAGCTGACCGTCCGACGGTGGCGACGGTGGCGACTTGGTGCCAAGGCTTGGAATTTGAGGCATTGCCGTTGAATTTCGATGAGAACTTCGCTCTAGTGGGTGCTGGGAATGTGGATTTTATTTACAGCAACCCAGCAGCTTACATGTGCATGGCTGTTGAGTTTGAAGTACAAACCGTGGCATCCCTAGTGAACTTCCGCAAGGGCTATGCTCTCAGCAAGTTTGCTGGTGTCCCTTGGCATACACAGCAGCTTACGACATTTGCCTGCAACAACGTTAACTTGGACTGTTTGAGACTGTCCTGACTTGTAGATCTGTCAAGCGTATGGATCTGGTACCAGCATGGAGATTTGTCTTGAAAAGTAAGTCAGTCTTTACAGTTGTCAATGGAAGTTTAATGCGACGTTTCCCAGCTAGAGCTAGATACATGGCATAGTTCTGTGTGTGAGTGAATAGGATGCCCACAAAACATGTAGTTTTTGCGCTTCAATGCGTTAAGAAGTAAGATGCTTGCGTGAACACCCACATGTCCAGAAAAAAGTTGCCACGCAAATATACAATTGTTTAATGCATTGAAGCGCAACATACATGTTTTGTGGGCACCCCTTTCGGACACGAAGCTATAAGGGTAGGTATAGGAGAGCCATAGTGGAGCGCTACAGGTGTTGCAGCACAACTCCTTTGGGAAATGTAGCAAATGTTTCAGATCGCATTGGCAGCTGTGGGCTTGGGGTCCAGATTCCGTTGGGGAATGCACACTATGGATGATAAAATGCATTGGTAGGGCCCCCCCGCTGTAGGCATATGTTTCGAACAGATTGCACTTGACACCACAAAGCCGCCAGGCTTAACCACACCACTAGGCTTTACCACACCGGGCTTCATACCACATCACATTGAACGCTACAAGCGGGCCGGGGCAAACGCATTTCACTCAAGCAGCATCAGCAGAACTGAACGCCCGTAGTAAGGATGCTCCTAGTAGTACGGCCAGGAGCCCCTCCTAGTAGCGTGGCCCTTTGCTCCTAGTAGCGATGCACCGCCCAGGTGATATTTGCTCGTGCCAACTCCACGTTTCAGACCGTGGAAGACCTCCGACGTGCTCGTGTGGAGGCAGTCTCCATCTCTGGCCTGGGTGCCATGCAGCTTCAGCAAGCTGAACCTCGGCACTGTTTCCGTGCGACCAATGAGAGGTCGTGACAAGTCTGGGTTAAATAGCTGATGTATGCTGATGTTATGACCATTTCCATTTGCTGTGTTTGGCATGTGTTTTCCCTGGAAAACACATGCGCGTCTTAGAACTCCCTCGCTCGCCCAAGGAGCTGCTGGCCCAGGGTTTGGACATCATGACAGATGTGCCACGGCTTACTTTTGTTCCTTGGCATCACCGAGTTGAAGATTAATTACAGCCGACCATTCCTTCGGATGGGGCTGGTTCTGCAGTTGACGTTTTGCTACCAACAAAGACAAAGGCAGGTTCATTTGTGGGGTTTGTCTCCTCAAAAAAAGACCCTTGGCAGCCAAAATATATAGATCGATCGATGAAAAGGAGCTCAAGCTCCAAGGGTCCAACTGAAGACTCCAATCGCCCGGGCGATGGGTGACCCACGATCGGGGCCCAGTCAAAGTTTCGTCGGCCCACGACGGATGAAGAGTGTGACTGAGGCATTCAACCAGAACAAAATTGTGCAAGATGTGCAAAGTGGTGTTGCGGATGTTGGCTTCGTGAGGACTGATTTGATTGACCGCCTGGTGGAAAGGAACCAGACCAGTTGGGCACATTTCCGCGTGATCGGTGAAATTCCGAACGCCGATACCTTTCCCTTCTCTCGCTCCACAGCCTTTACCCCGGAGTGGCCCATCGGTGCACTGTCTCATGTTCCAGACGCCATCCGCGAGATGGTTGGAAGCGCGTTGATGTCCCTGGATCGAGCTTCTGCTGATCCCCTGCTCTCCGAGCCTGCGATTCAAGGAAATTTTGCAAGCTGGACCACACCCAGCAACTATACAACTAGCAAGAAACACATTTTCTCGACTTTTATGTTTTTCTTTGGATGTGTCCTTGGATGCTTTCTGTAAACAAATTCTTCACCCTCTTCACTCTTGCCACCAGAGGTAATTATCTTGGCCTTTTGGATGTGCTTCAGAAGGTCCGCTACTTTGACCCCGTCCAACGCCGGTGTCTCCGCAGTTCCGACGAGTATGACGCCATTTTTTGCCCCGAGGGCTACGTGAAGAGATCTGCAGAGCAGGTCTTTTGTTCCGACTGCCCGGACACATATTCCTGCCTTTGTTCTCCCTGTGCAAAGCTCAGGGACCCCGAATTTGTCTTGAAGGTTGAGCTGCTAAGCACCAGCTGGAAAGGCAATGTAGATCTCGAGCAAGTGGCCAACTCGACAGTGTTGGCAAACAGTTGTGAGCGAATGACGGTTTCTTGGCCAAAATGTAAAATGAAGAGCCTGAGGAATTGAAGGCCCAAGTCTGTTTATTTATATGCTCCCAAACTCTTCTCCATCCCATCAAGCAGGCACTTGGACCACCAACCCCATGAGTCCGGCTGATTTGGTGTTCTAAGCGTTTCTGGTCATCTCCGCATCTGTTTTTTCCTCAGGTTTGTGGTCACGTCTTTTCCGGTCAGAAGCTCCGCTGGGTGCTGTTGGACCAAATCGGCGCCACTCAGCGCCGTGCCATCAACGCACCCTTGCTGGACAGCGTGAATTTTCGAATGACCATCGACGGACCGACCAGGAACACCACTGTGACCTGGCCGAAAAACCAGCGAGTACGAGTTTCATGAAAGCTTGCTTTATTGAAGCAAGATTGGTTGTTAGTTTCGTTGGGTGACAGTTGGTTTTAAGTCAGCCTTTTGCCTCTTTGTAGGAAAAGGTGGGCTGTTTTCGTTTCTCTTGTCAGGGTCTTCCAAGGTTCAGAACGTGACCGTATCCGATCTCGACACTCAGATGTTCTATTTGGACTTTGAGGCCCAAGACAACGGTGCTCAAGTGATTCAGGTTGACATCAATGGGCTCCCAGACTCTTGGTCTAGTCAGAGTTGGGCAACAGTGACATCAATATGACATGAATAATATGTTTTGAACAATCAAGGCAGATGACAACTGCAAGGGTGGTTGGTTATTTTTCTTCTAAGCACTTGTATTTGCCAAAGATTGGGGGTAACATGGGAATTGGACATGATCAATCGAACTGTTCAATCGAACATTATTTGAATGTTCAGTATTCTTTCACAGCCCTTGAAGGCATGCCTTGCTGTTGTTTCATGTCATTTGACGTGATTTAATTTGCCGTCTCTGCAGCTAGGCTATTATGTCTCCTGTGGTCTTGAAGGTGGAGCCAGCACCACTGCGTGACTTGCTATGTCCCCCTGGCTATGCAGCAAACGAGGAGGGACTATGCATGATTTGCCCGGCTGGCACAGCATCCTTGGGTGGTCTCGCACCATGCCGTCCATGTGATCCTGGCACCAAGCAACCTCTTGAGGGCCAGGCCAATTGTGAGAGTTGTCCTGTTGGCGAAGCTGGGCTGAAAAACTGGATTGTCCTGATTGTATTTTGTGGGTAGAGGTACCGAGGTACCGAAACATCTCAGAACCGGGTTGTACAAAGCCCTATCAGCAGAGATTGAAAGTAGTCAGCAAAAGGTCACGGGTCATGAGATCTCAAAAGAATGCAGACTCAGTCCTTTGTCCAACAACGATGATCCACTTACACGCTTTGACACCGTGCAAAGCGCAAGCGCCGAAAGGAATATCAAGCTGAAAGTGCTGCAGCTGCTTGCATTCCATGCGAGCCTGGAAGTTCCAGTCGGGGCAAGACAGGCTCCCGAGCATGCAGTCCATGTGAGCCAGGTCAAGAAGCGCCAGAGTCCGGCATGGAAAGGTGTACAGCCTGCCGGCGTGGCTATTATTCTGAGCAGGAAGGAGCGGCACACTGCTTGCAATGTCAAGGTGGAAAGGGTACATCTGAACAGGGTACCACTGATCCTTCCTTGTGCATATGCTTGGAGGGTGAACGACTTTTGCGTGACTCGAACATGAGTGAGCATTGCGTCAGCTGCGGCATTGGACTGTCTTGTACCGCTGGCAATGGTGACCCTGAACAGCTTGCTGGCTTTTGGGTGGATGTGGTGGATGCCGAGAGAAAGGTTCTATCAGTTTTCCGGTGTCGGAATGTGTTGGAGTGCCCGGCAGGGCCACTTGGAGGCTGCGCCTCAGGTCGAGAAGGAAGAGCCTGCAACAATTGTGAATCTTGGTATCAGCCCTCAAATGATGGCACATGTGACCCATGCGAGGGGGTGGATGCACTCCCTGTGCTCTGGGTGATTCTAGGCGTCCCTCAATTGCACCAAGTAAAACACGTGTGCACTGAACTGTTTTAGCATTGTTGTAGTGCCGCTGTTGGCGCTGGACTCAGGTTTTGTTGCTGAGCTTTCTTACCTGGGCCTTTGCACAGACCAGCCTGGCCAGGCAGAGGTTGGGTCAGGCCAGGCACAATGCTCTTTCGAAGTGCCAATAGGCTTTGTTCGAGGTTTGTAATGGTCTGCTGGCAGCCACGTAGTGTTCACATCGCTGTGCATTGCCAAATACAGCCATTTGCAACAGGTCACTGTCTTCTTGACTGCTGGACAAGTTATTGTGCTGATGCAGCTCATGGCCGCCTTAAAGAGCCTCGAATTCCAATGGGCAGGCGCGCCGGCGTGTGGCGCGCCGGGATGGTGGGATTTCGAAAGGATTCGCAGAGTGTTTGCCTGAGAAATCAACAAATATTATAACAATGCTGCAGTAATATGATGCTTTCACCTGGTGGTGAACCGAAAGATGGCCAATGTCAAAGAGGTCATGTAAACATATGTAAACTGTTGTTCTCCGCCACTGGTCGGAAGCGAACGACACTGACAGCAAGATTCCACATGGTATTGATTGACCCTGCAGTAAGGGCCGGATGACCCATATCATATGACCCACATGCCCGCTTCCCCTATGAATCAGGTCCTGCAGTACCTGTTCTTCAAGCCCTGTCTTTGTTGGCCTTTGATTTGGACTTCATGAACCTTGGATGTGTCGTCGCCAACGATGGGCCTACTCTCTCCTTCTTCTCCCAGCTGATGGCCTACCCAGTCTTCTCAGTTTGTATGCTGCTTGTGTGGTGGTGCATGACCAAGTGCCAGAGGGGAATCTTCAAAGGCTCAGAGCTTTTGAACATCAACGGCTTGGTTTTGATGACTCTTTACGTCACCTTGACCATTGTGTCCTTACTCCCTTGGCAATGTGTGAGAAATCCCAATGGCACGCTCACGATGCAAACCCAGCCTGGCGTTGTTTGCTTCTTGGCACCAATACTGGGGCTCTCGATGACACAGCACCCCAAGATAGCTTGTTGTTTTACAACAAACAGTCTTTGTACATTTTTTGCAGTTGTAATCGGTGGTAGTCCTGGGAAGGAGGCTTGCAAGAACCAGCTACATGCAAAGATCCAGAAGAACCCTGCCTTGCTGTACAAAACGGTTCCTGGAATTTGAAGGACATTTGACACATTGCCTGCACAACAGTTGCCTCGCCTTGCACTTTTATCATCCCCGACATATTTCGAGTCTTGATGGGAAACGTGTCAAGTTTTAGCTTCAAGGCGGACCACAGTGCGCTTTGAGTGTGTTCAATTTGGTGAGCTTCGAGAACGTCTCAACTTTAGGGTTGTTGACAAGTATCAAGTCACAACTTGGATATACAATGATATACAACGTAGCATATCTCAGTATAAATTCTTGCCCTGGACCGACATGTTGATGTATTCTGAGGATTGTCCAAGCATAGTGATTTTGTTGCCGACAGAGTTATCCCATATGAATGTTGTTCTCCTTCAATGTTGGGAGTTGCTGGGCGGATTCCTTCCCTGCTTCAGACCAGGCTTCGACTCGGATGAGCACACAGGTTTGTTGGCCTTGTCTGCGCTCGGGATGATCATGCAACTTGTGTGCAAGAGTCCGGAGCAACGGCTCCCTCCTGTCACTTTCAGTGCATGTTACATGGGCAAAACTGTAGGGCCTTAGCCGGTGTACATCCTGACAATGGTCACTATGACATAGCAAGAGAGTTTGCTTTCGATTGAATCGCTACTAGTAACGATGGCCTCCAACCTACTGGCGATGGCCTCCAGCCGCCAGCCTAATAGCGATCGGCGATGGCCTCCAACGTAGTAGGAATGGCCTCCAACCCTAGTAACGATGGGATTATGAATTCTTGGAGCGGCATTCAAGGTACCCGATTCCCATGCTAGCTGTGTCCATTCAAGCTACTGCCGCTCGGCGCTTCCATGGGAGTCGCACACAGTCGCACCTTCGATGGGCAGAAGGTTTCACTGCGCCCTTTTAGAGCTTTGATGGGTGTTACCCAAAATTGCTCCCAGACCTGAAGACCAATTCATGTTAAAGTCAGGTGATTTGAGAAGTTGGATCGATTCGAACTCTGCTCACTCTGTTCTTGGGGCATTTGTAGACTCAAGAAAAAAAGGCGGGTGTTTGATGTGTCTTGGGCCTTAATTAATTGCCGACCTTGTGGAGGTTGAAGGTTGATGGCCCTCATGTCTGACCAAAATCCATGGAAGGCCTTCATTTTTGGATGGTTTCTTTGCCCTTTCACGTATGCCACCAAGCGACATGCAAGTTAAAATGTAGGTCAAAACGACCCAGAGCTGGACTGGAAACTCCTGTTAGGGGTGTAGAGATGTGTAGAGGGTTTGATCTTTCGACTGCTCCACTTCCGGCTTTTCATCAGGTGATGTATCCTTCCTATGTGGCCTCGGGCCAGGGATTGGTGGTGGTGAATCGATATCGCTTCATTTTTGAGCGTTTTCGCGCTTCACGCTATTTCTTTGGCGTCCTTTATCTCGTCAGGACTGACGACTGGTTAAAACACGGAACATACTGAAACATGGGGCCTGGAATGTAGTAACAAGAAGCTAGTAGTAACAAGTGCCACGCTACTAGGAACAGGTGCCTTACTAGTAGTAACATGAACGCTGCCAGGAACACGCTCCTATCGCTGATCCCTGTGGTTCTCGCCAACTTCCCCTCGGTTCAGGTCGCAATGCTTGCTTGTGTAATGCTCATGGGTGTGATTATCCAGATGCGAGCCTGGCCGTGGCGAACACAGGCAAACGGAGACCAAAGGGATCAGAAGCAAGATGGGAATCTATGAAATAAGCAGCCAACTTCCAGTTGCTCTATTCCAGTAACATTGCCTTTGAACATGACCAAAGTGAGCTGGGCATTCAAGGGTAAGTGGATTGAGCTCTCATGATGATAGTTTGCAATCCATTTGACGTCCAATTATGTAATACCTGCTTGTTCAGGACAGGCAACACAAAAGAGAGCGAAGTGGTAAACATGCGCTTGGCGAAGCACACAAAATACTGGTAGCCTGTAATCAAGCCTTATGCAAGGTGTTTGCCTTGTCATTCGCCAATTTCTCAAACAATGCTGCGCAAGCCCTTTGAAGACTAGACTAGGGTTTTGATGTAGGATCATGGAAGTTAATGGAGGCACTGTCAAGATTCTTGCGGATGCCATTAAAATTGGACAAGACTCGATTATATAAGGTGTATCTAGCCAAGTTGCAGAAGGTTAAATTACTGTATATTGTATATCTACCCGTGTTCTCAATGCAATGCTTGGGGCTGTTGAAGAAGTATCCCAAAGACTGATCTTTGCGGATGTGTTGACTACGATGCCTTTAAGCTTCATGTTTGGATGTTTTTTTCGGGGTCGCACGAAGACCTAAACGAACCTCCTTTGAGCATACCCTGGGCCGCCCATCCCACCGGATTCGTCCTCTCGTTTGGCGACCGGGATTTGACGAGGCTTTTCTCGTCTCGGCATGTGGACGGAGCTTCTTGCTCCTAGTAGCGATGCCAGGAGCCCCTAGTAGCGTCCTTGCTCCTAGTAGTAAGGCACAGAGGAAGGAAATGAGCCAAAATGGGACCTCTCACGTTTCTCCCAAATGGGACCTCTCCGGGAGCGCGGGTGTCGGACTTTTGGTGTCGGCAGGTGGCCAACCTCACAGACATGGTCTTCTCCTCGGGAGTTGTCCTGTTCCTGGTGATCGCAGGGCCAATCCTGGACTTTGAGACGGAGGCAGATGAGAAATCCTATGCGATGTTCCTCTCTTGGAGACCTTGGCAGTCAAAGAATCAGCCCTTTTTACATCGTTGGGCCTGCAGCCTTACATCAAAGTAAGTACACCTACTAGTAATCTTATGTGCTGTTGTTTTTGTGAATGTGTCACTGATATGCTGCTATCTCTATAATTTAGTTAATAACGTGGAGGTGCGTCCAAACCCTCTGATGCTTTTGGTACCAGCACACGCTCAATCCTCGGACACGTTTTTCTTCATTAGAGCACAGTTCAGTTCACACTGTTTACACCACCGACTTCTACTGCAGACATGCTTGTTGCTTCACAATCTAGGCCCTGTCCAGCTGGAACAAGTTGCAGACCGGATCAAAGAGGTATCCATGGTCCAAGAACAAACAAAAGCGGAACTCAATGGGTACTCCTTTTGGCAACGCAACCTTTTGGAACATAATTAGAAAAGAACAGATGAGGATGTGTCATTCATCACTCCGAGCAAATGAGCAGCAGCTAAAAGCTCGTACCAGAACAATTTGGAGACATGATTTAATGATTCTGGTCACACCAAAACACAGTCGCCCCGCTTGAAGTCTTTGCCCTTTTTCAGATGTTCACCACGTTTCCAGTGGAATTGATACGTTTTCGATCACTGTCAGAAAAGTCAGGAGCTTTTGCTTGTTGTTGCTGACTTTCTGCTTGGCCTTCTTCATTGTGGCAGTGATCTACCTGCAAAGACGCTTCAATCCGGTAAAACCATATAAAGTCTTTCTGACGCATCAGAAGGGAGCAGCTGGGTCCTTGGCACGCTTCATCAAGTCCATTCTGAACAAGTACCTGAGCTGGTTTCATCATACTTTGTCACCGCCATTATGGTAGAGGAAACCGTTGTTTGACAACTGCTTGGTTCATTGGACTGATGGGTCATCGCTCGTGTTTGTCGGTTACCGAACGGAGAAGGCGAGCCGTGTCATGTCATCGTGCCCAGGCACTCCAGTGATGGAGTCTTTTTGGATTCGGACGAGCTGCAGGATTTGGACTCGCTCTTTGAGTGTGTTCGTTCCCAAGTGGGCTATTTGGTTCCCCTGGTGACACCTGCCATGATGACTCGACCTTGGTGTGTCGGCGAGCTGGCCACGGCATTTTTGAATAACGTGCTTCGGCAAAGCAACCACTAAACATCAATAAACATGGTTTTGGACCGAAGAAATGATTGTTTGGTGGAGCACCCACGCTTTTTGTGTTCACTTTGTGTGATCTTTTTCATAATGTGTTTGAAGTAGTTATATAGACATCACATAGGCTATTTTCGGATTGTTACACAAACAGAAGCAGTGGGCTTCAACCGTGGTGCTTTGGTTCAACGCCCTTTTCGAAGATCACACCTCAACGCGGACAGGCTCCCGCTGTGCCAAACGCAAAGCTTAGCTTAATGAGAGGAAGTTTTGGCGCCTAACATCACCCCAAACCACGATTGAAATGTTCAAAAGCAGCCCTTGAATGCCCCTGAGTACCTGCCTATGAATCTGGTGGGGTTGACCCCCCTATAATACAGGAGCGCATGCCCTTTTCGACAGGAGGAGTTTGATTGTTGGTCAACTTTTCTATGACTTTTGAATTTTTGCAGGATAATGAATCCCTAAATCATTGCATTGCATATGAGGTTATAGGATCAGACCTCTAACTGGCGTTAAAAACACGGTCATTGGTTGGGAGTGTGTGACGTCTTGCTGTTGAAACTCTTGCTTCGCAGATCATCACAACCAGCCGCGATGGACTCATGCTAAGGCAATGTGCTGAATATGTACCCTTTTCAAAGCATGATACTGTACGCTGCATGTATATAAATAATCTTTGCAAATTTGTCCTCTTCTGACTTTTAGCCTGTGCTGTCATTGGGCTGAGGTTTTAATCGATCACTGTTTATGTTTGTCCATGTTTTTTACCGCTTTGGATGCACAGTTGCATGATTTGGGTGAGGTGCCAATTCTGCCAATCTCCTGCAGTGGTGCAAGTCCAATTTCACCTGGACGTGTCCCAGCAATTCTGAATTCATGGTCTACGGACGAATTTCAACCACTGCTTGCAGCTGGCATTGACGAGAGGGGCATTGAGGTGGGACGTGCAGTAAGTGGATAGAATTCTAGAGGGATTGGTGAAGTGCTTTGCTCTCCAGATCAATGCTGCGTTGCCAAAAGAAATCTGACATCTCCTTGTGTTGGCCTCCAAACCAAGAGCAATGGCCTCCAACCTAGTAGCGATGGCCTCGGCCTCCACCCTAGTAGCGATGGCCTCCAGCCTACACTGTAGTAGCGATGGCCTCCAACCTAGAACTGGCCTCCAACCTAAGACATTTGCTGCGCTTCAAGACAAGCCCAAGCTCAATCGTTGGGAAGCATGTTGATGTTGATTTGGTGTACCTTCGTGTGTGTGTGTGCCCCTTGTAGTCACCGGGATTCTTTTTGAATTGTATTGAGCAGGGGGGGCACAGGAGGCCCATAGAGCTGTGCCCAACGAAGCTCTCTATGGTGACCTAACTTCCAGTAAAGTGCTAATGAGCTTGGCAGACATGAGCGTACGACGTCATCTCGACCTGCTCGTCGCTTTCGGTCTTGAGCTTTTGGCCCTTTCTCCTTTTGAAGACCTCCAGGCTCCATAGGGTTCTCCTGGACTTTTCAGGATTTGGTTTCTTAGGCTGGCGTGTGGCTTGTGGCATTCAGTTCCGTGCGCCAAATCATAAGTGTGTCTCTCCTAGTGAGAGCCCAGACTGAGCCCGCAGAGTCCCCCCACGGGGGTTTGTTTTGTCCCTGCGCCCGGGACCAGAGCAGCTCGCAGCGAGCGTAGGTGGCCTAGGCCGAGAGAACTCAGATTTTTGTCTTATGAGTCTTATGCTTTGAGTTCCAAGCTGGCTTCTGCCTTTACGTGACCGCAGCGGTCAAAGCAGCCAGCCACTTTGGCAGGGCACAAGGTGACCACAGCGGTCAAAGCATCTCCTGGGTCCGTTGGGACCCGTCGCCACCTCAGGTGCACACGCAGTATGTACATGTTCAACGAAGCTTGCCTAGGTTCTTTAATGAGGTTTGGGTTCATCGGTTCTCGTCCCCTCCATTTGGTTCCCTTTTCATCCTTTCCCCTTCACACACTTCTGCTTTCCTCTTTTCTTTCATGTCCTCCTGTCTTCATGTCTTTCATTTCATCCTTTCTTTCGTTTGCGCGCACATTGGTCCCGACCTCAGCGTGTACGTGCACAACTACATGTACTTGAAACCTAGGTTTTAGGTGGCCCAGGTCTTTATAATGAGGTGGGTTTCATTGTTTGTCCCTGTGCACCTGGTTCCCCTTTCATCACAACCACATACACCTTTGTCCCGTCCCGTCCTCTTGTCATGTCTTCATTCTTTTGCCTCTTGCGCGCGCACACGTGCACATTTGCCTTAACCTTAGTTTTACGCCTCTCGTTGGAGAGGCGTGTGTGTGTGCCCCTTGTAGTCACCGGGATTCTGTTTGAATTGTATTGAGCAGCGGGGCACAGGAGGCCCATAGAGCTGTGCCCAACGAAGCTCTCTATGGTGACCTCAGGATATGCAGCCTGATCAGCTGCACGTACCTGCTGTTTGAACTTTTGAACAAGCTTTGACTCCAACTTCCAGTAAAGTGCTAATGAGCTTGGCAGACATGAGCGTACGACGTCATCTCGACCTGCTCGTCGCTTTCTTTCTTGAGCTTTTGGCCCTTTCTCCTTTTGAAGACCTCCAGGCTCCATAGGGTTCTCCTGGACTTTTCAGGATTTGGTTTCTTAGGCTGGCGTGTGGCTTGTGGTGTGTGTGTGTGGGTGGGAGTCTGAGCAGAAAGACCGTGAGAGAACTCTTCGGCACAGCTCTAATGCTTTTAGAACTTTCACTGACGGAACGTACTGGTCAACGTTCATTGGGAGGCAACCTTTGAGCACCTTGCGACCTTGAAAGCTATACCGTATGATCGCTCGAGCGAGCTGGAACATCAAGAGTCCTCCATCCTCAGAATCATTTCGCATTGTGAAATGAAAAGGCGCCCTTTTGTGGATTACTCCTCAAAGTCAACCAGGGCGCGTGTGCTGATCTTATCCCACACTGAGCGTGAAGCAATCTCCACAAGTATGTCTCTCAGCTGCAAGCACTGCAATCATTTTTGACAGGAACCTTCGACAAGTCTGATGAATGTACCCTACCATTAGTGCTACCTAATTAATGCTCTGTACGTCCTTTTTAATATGGGTGATTGTACTCAATGTCGAAGTGTTCTCATTGAATAGCCTATAGTGGCTGAAGCGACATGGAACGGTTTTGGCTGTAAGTGTGGTAAGCGGTCACAGGATCTTGCAGATGCAGCTGCAACAGCAACTCCAGGAGAGTCTCCACTGCATTTGAGTTTCAACATGTTTCAACACCATAGGAGCTACATTGTATAGCCATCTTGTAGTATATAGATAGATCATGGGAAACCCCACACCATTGAAAAACTAATTTTGTATATAGTGTATATGTTTGGATTGGTTCATATTCACGTCGCTTCGCGACGGTAACCGCCCGCGCCGGATGGAAGGGGACAATACATCCACCGAGTCCCGGAAGGAAGCCCGAGCTGCTTGTGCTCTTGGGAGCCAAGGGAGTGAGTATGAAAGGAAGTGTCCGACATAGCGTCCATATTGTCGGCCCCAGAACGGCTCCCCCCCCAACGTGGCTGAACGTAGCTTCCATATCGCCTGGAACGTCGAGCAACAGAACAACGGACTGTGGGAAGTGCCCTGTCGAGCATGTTCAGAACGCGCCCAGCACGAAGTGCGCTGGCCGCTTCGTTGTTTTACGGCAGACATCACGCAAACGGCAATCTGGTCTAAGATTTCGGAAGGGCAGCGTCTGCAGTGTTATCGTTGTTATCACAGCACAAGGGCTCCAAAGGACACACGTTTGATGATGTGTGCTGAATGTGGCGACCTCCTTCGTCGTTGATGGAGTGCAAAAGGGGTCCCGGTCTGCGACGCTCCAGTCCCTCTCTCGAGGAGACGTGCTTGTCCAGTCCCTTTTGAGCCCTCTTTGGGCCACGTTATTTGCGATGTTGCCGTTCCGGAACGCGATCTCTGTTTATCTTTGCTCCGGTGGAGCCAAATATCACTTCTAATGCTATGCCAGACAATATGGAAGCTATGTTTAGCCACGTTAGGGGGGAATCTATTCCAGTTTACGACGTTGAAGCGCAGACACGTCCTTTCGGTAGTAACTTCTAGATCTCTGTTAGGCAATATCTGCACTCTATTCCACTCCCTTTGGAGCCTTCGTGAGACCATGTTTACGACGTTCAAGTACCTATCTCGGGGAAGCATACGGGAGACTCTGGACCAGCCACGTACCCGGACGTTCAAGCCCCCATCTCGCAGACATGTCCGTTAGATAGTGACTTCTAGGGTTATGTTACGTACCGCTCAGTCCCTATCTCGCAGACATGTCCGTTGGATAGTGACTTCGAGGGTTATGTTACGTACCCGTTCCTGGACCTGACCTGCTTATCTCTGCTCCTGACCAGCCACGTTCCCGGATGTTCTAGTCCCTATCGCGCAGACACGTCCATTAGATAGGGACTTCGAGGGCTATGTGGCATACCAGTTTACGACGTTCAAGTCCCTATCTCGCAGACACGTCCTTTCGATAGTGCCTTCGAGCGCTCGGCTAGACAATATCTGCACGCTATTCCAGTCCCTTGGGAGCCTTCGTTAGACCATGTTTACGACGTTCAAGTACCTATCTCGAGGAAGCGTACTTGAGATAGGGACTTCTGGAGTTGTGTTCGACCATATGGGAGCTATGCCGTTCCTGGACCTGACCTGCTTATCTCTCCACGTACCCGGACGTTCAAGTCCCTATCTCGCAGACATGTTCGTTCGATAGTGTACCGCTCGTTCAAGTACCTATCTCGAGGAAGCATACTTAAGATAGGGACTTCTGGAGTTATGTTCGACCATATGGGAGCGAGATAATGTTACCGTTCCGGGATTTGACCGGCTTATCTCTGCTCCTGACCAGCCACGTACCCGGACGTTCAAGTCCTTATCTCGCAGACATGTCCGTTAGAGAGTGACTTCTAGGGTTATGTTACGTACCGCTCAGTCCCTATCTCGCAGACATGTCCGTTGGATAGTAACTTCTATAGAGTTATCTTACGTACCCATTCCTGGGCCTGACCTGCTTATCTCTTCTCCGGACCAGCCACGTTCCCGGATGTTCTAGTCCCTATCGCGCAGACACGTCCATGAGATAGGGACTGCGAGGGCTCTGTTGCGTACCAGTTTACGACGTTCAAGTCCCTATCTCGCAGACACGTCCTTTCGATAGTGCCTTCGAGCGCTCGGTTAGACAATATCTTCACGCTATTCCAGTCCCTTGGGGGCCTTCGTTAGACCATGTTTACGACGTTCAAGTACCTATCTCGAGGAAGCGTACTTGAGATAGGGACTTCGGGAGTTATGTTCGACCATATGGGAGCTATGCTCGGGAGATAATATTACCGTTCCTGGACCTGACCGTACCCGTTCCTGGGCCTGACCTGCTTATCTCTGCTCCTGACCAGCCACGTTCCCGGATGTTCTATAGTCCCTATCGCGCAGACACGTCCATGAGATAGGGACTTCGAGGGCTATGTGGCATACCAGTTTACGACGTTCAAGTCCCTATCTCGCAGACATGTCCTTTC